TCTTCTTCTTCTTCTTCTTCTTCTTCTTATTATTATTATTATTATTATTATTATTATTATTATATATAGATTGAGGATTTAAAAATAAGTCCAAATATATTTATATGCATATTGTCAAAAGCTTACAATACAAAAGAAATAAGAATAAACGTAAGTTTAAATATAAGAAATAGGAACTGATAATTGGGGACAATAGGACAGGGATGGTAGGCAGGATTGTGCACTTATGCACACTTCTTACAGACCTGTTAGGAATGGAGTGAGGTCAATAAAGGTTAGTTTGAGGGTAAAGGAGTGGGGGTTTGAACAGGTGACAGCAGAATCAGGTAGCGAGTTGCAGATATTGACCACTCTGTTGCTGAAATCATACTTCCTGCAATCAAGTTTGGAGTGGTTAACATTGTTTATATCTGTCGTGTGCTCTTGTGTTGTAGTTAAAGCTGAAATATTCATTAACCGGTAAGACATTGTAACATATGATTTTATGTACTATGCTTAAATCCAATCTTCGCCAGCGCAGTTCAAGATTGTCTAAGCCAAGAACCTCAAGTCTGGTGCTGTAGGGTATTCTGTTGCGAACAGAGGAATGTAGTACTCTTCTGGTAAAAGAAGTATCTGGACTCGCTCAATTGTATTTATAAATTGTATTTATATAATTTTTCAAAAATGGTTTCAGCAATGATTTTAGATCAGGGTTGCCAAACTCAAGACTTGTGGGGCGAATCTGGCTCATGGGAATGCTTAGATCCGTGGGGCCACCTTGGAAACAGCAAAGGCCCAGCCCATGATGTCTCTGCCAGTGAAAATGGAGATTGGGAGGGCCACGTGCCACCCTCACGAGCTCCATTTTCACTGGCAGAGGGTTGCAGGAGGCCATTGCAGCTGAAAACGGAGCTCAGGAGCCCGTTTTTCTGGCAGAGTGCTCAGGCCCCTTGACACATGTGACATCAAACTGGCCACTTCCCTCCAGCCCTGCCGTGATGCAGCCCTCAATGAAATCAAGTTTGACACCCCTGTTTTAGTTTGTTGTGGGTAAGAACAATAGGAGTAGCACTTAAGACTTATATACCGCTTCATAGTGGCTTACAGCCCTCTCTAAGAAGTTTACAGAGTCAGCATATTGTTCCTAAAAATCTGGGTCCTCGTTTTGCCAACCTTGGAAGAATGGAAGGCTGAATCCACCTTGAGCAGGTCAGGATCGAACTCCAGACCGTGGGAAGAGTTTTGCCTGCAATGCTGCATTCTAACCACTGTGCCACCAGATCAACATTGGTTTTCAACCAGAGTTTTGGAGAAATTTTGGCATAGTTTGGAAGATGACTTGGAAGAGTAGGTGACCAGGAGGTCAATTATATTTCCATGTCTAGGAGCAAAATTTGCTGGATGAGATGAAAGTTTGCTATGCTATGCTATGCTATGCTATGCTATGCTATGCTATGCTATGCTATGC